GCTAGATAGCTTTCAAATCATTCTGAACACCTGTGAACTCAACTGGAGATCTAAGAAAAGAATAGCTGCAACTCTACGAATAGAAAAGGGACCACTTTCTGCAAGAATGACAAGATGGAAAAACTCACCTCAGAAAAGAGAACAAGAGGCAGTACTGACTGCTAGGGACCCAATCAGTATGGATATAAGTAAGATGCCAGAACTGGAATTCAGAATAACGATTATAAAGGTACTAGCTAAGCTTGAAAAAAGCATAGAAGACACTACAGAATCCTTTTTTGGATAAATAAAAGAACTAAAATCTAACCAAGTCAAAAATCAAAAGGCTATTAATGAGATGCAATAAAAAATGGAGGCTCTAACTGCTAGGATAAATGAGGCAGAAGAGAAAATTAGTGATATAGAAGACAAAATGATGGAGAATAAAGCTAAGCAAAAGAGAGATAACTGCTGGATCATGAGGGGAGAATTCAAGAGATAAGTGATACCATAAAGCAGAATAATATTAGAATAATGGGGGGGCAGAAGGTATATTGGAGCAGATTATAGTGGAAAACTTCCCTAATCTGGGGAAGGAAATAGGCATTCAAGTTCGGGAGGCACAGAGAACCCCCCTCAAAATCAATAAAAATAGATCCACACCCTCACATATAATAGTGAAACTTGCAAATCTCAGAGACAAAGAGAAAATCCTGAAAGCAGCTCGGGACAAGAGGTCTGTAACCTACAAGGGTAGAAACATTAGACTGGCAGCAGACCTATCCACAGAGACCTGGCAGGCCAGAAAGGACTGGCATAATATATTCAGGGTGCTAAATAAGAAGAATATGCAGACAAGAATACTTTATTCAGCTAGGATATCATTCAAAATAGTGATAAAAAGCTTCCACGACAAATAGAAACTTAAAGAATTTGTGATCACCAAACCAACCCTACAAGAAATATTAAAAGGGATCCTCTAAGCAAAGAGAGAACCCAAAACTAACATAGACCAGAAAGGGACAGAGACAATATAAAGTAACAGTCACTTTACAGGTAATACAATGGCACTAAATTCATATCTTTCAGTAGTTACTCTGAATGTAAATGGGCTAAATGCCCCAATCAAAAGACACAGGGGTATCAGATTGGATAAAAAAGCAAGACCAATGGATATGCTGTCTGCAAGAGACTCATTTTAGACCCAAATACACCTCCAGATTTAAAGTGAGGGAGTGGAAAACCATTTCTCACATCAGTGGACATCAAAAGAAAGCTGGCATGGCAATCCTTATATCAGACAAATTAGATTTTAAACCAAAGACTATAATAAAGAGATGAGGAAGGACAGTATGTTATAATTAAAGGGTCTATCCAACAAGAAGATCTAACAATTGTAAATGTTTGTGCCCCTAACATTGGAGCAGCCAAATGTGTAAGCCAATTAATAACAAAATCAATGAAACGCATCGATAATTATGCAATAATAGGGGACTTTAAAACCCCCCTCACTGCAACGGATAGATCATCTAAGCAGAAGATCAGCAAGGAAATAAAGGCTTTGAAAAAAAAAGGAAATAAGGGCTTTGAATGACACACTGGACCAGATGGACTTCACAGATATATTCAGAACATTCCATCCTAAAGCAACAGAATACACCTTCTTCTCTAGTGCACATGGAACATTCTTCAGAATAGATCACATACTGGGTCACAAATCAGGTCTATTTATGCATTCTTGAAATGACCATTTAGTAGTGAAAAACAGATCACTCATTGTCAGTGTTTGAGGGGTCAGGTAAGAGGGAAGCGGGTATGCTCATGTAACAGGATAATGTGGTGGATCCTTATGGTGTTGAAAATGTTCTGTATCTTAATCATATTAATGCCAGTATCCTGCGGTTTTTTTGTTTTTTGTTTTTGTTTTTGAGGGAAAGAGTACAAGCAGGGGTCAGGGAGGGGTGGAGGGAGAGGGAGAGATTCTCAAGCAGGCTCCATGCTGAGGATCGATCTCACAAACCTGAGATCATGACCTGAGCTGAAATCAAGACTCAGACACTCAACCCACTGAACCACCTCGATGCTCCATCCAGTATCCTGGTTTTAATACAGTTTTGCATTGGGATAATCTGGTTACAGGGTACAAAGGATCTCCTTTTATTATTTTTTAAAACTTCTTATTAATCTACAGTTATCTCGAGTTAAAAAATTGAATAAAAAAATGGAAATCATCAAGTATTGCATAAGTGTTTAGAGCAAAGGAACACTAGAATGAGACTTTTTCTCCCATTACATGATCAGAGAATTGATCTGAAAATAACCTGTTTTCTAAAACAAAACAAAACAAAAGGTCTACACTTAGATACCATTTTTCACCTATCATATTTGAAAGGATCATAAAGTGGATGCCTGGGTGGCTCAATTGGTTAAGCGACTGCCTTTGGCTCAGGTCATGATCCTGGAGTCCCGGGATCGAGTCCCTCGGCGGGGAGTCTGCTTCTCCCTCTGACCCTAACCCCTCTCATGTGTTCTTTCTCATTCTCTCTCTCCAAATAAATAAATAAAATCTTTAAAAAAAAAAAGATCATAAAGTTTGATAATATTTTTGGGAGGTCATGAGGGAAACATGTACTCTTATACTCTGTTGGTGCCGTCTATAGAGAGACATTTTAGTGAGTTTCAAAATTAGAAGTGCACATGCCCTTTCACTTACAGTTCCACTTTTAACTCTTTGTCCTGTAGATCTACTTTCACAAATGCAACATGACATGTATTCTGTGTTCTTCACTGCATCATTGACATGATAACAAAAGATTGGAAACAGCCTAAGTATCCTTTAAGTAGGAGACTAGTTAATTATTGTACATCAAGAAAATGAACTTCTGTGAAGCCATGAAAACAGAACAAATGAAGAAACTCTTTACTTACTAATGAGTGCTCTTCAAGATATTTTAAGTGCAAAAAAGCAACGTGCAAAACGTGTGTGCTGTGTGTGTGTGTATACACATACATGAAAGAATTTAATTGTAAATAGAACATTTTTGAAAGGATATTTAAGAAATTGGTTTCTAGGGGCACCTGGTTGGCTCAGTCAGTTAAGTGGCCGGCTCTTGATTTCAGCTCAGGTCATGATCTCAGGTTCCTGGGATTGAGCTCCACATTGGGGTCCGCACTCAATGGGAAGTCTGTTTGAGGATTCTCTTTCCCTCTCCCTCTTCCCCTCTTCCCACTTGCACACTCACTCTCTCTTTGTCTCTAAAATAAACAAATCTTGGGATGCCTGTATGGCTCAATCAGTTAAGTGTCTGCCTTTGGCTCAGGGTCCCAGATTGAGCTCCTTGCTCAGCAGGGAGCCTGCTTCTCCCTTTGCCTGCCACTCCCCCCCCCACTTGTGCTCACTCACTCTCTCTCTTTGACAAATAAATAAAATATTTTTTTAAAAATTAAATTTTTAAAAAGATAAAGAGGCGTGGTTGGGTGGCTCAGTCAGTTAAGTATCTGGCTTTGTCTCAGGTCATGATCTCAGGGTCCTGCGATTGAGCCCCAAGTCTGGCTCCCTGCTTAGCAGGGAGTCTGCTTCTCCTTCTTCCTCTGCTCCCCCTACTTGTGTTCTCTCTCTAATAAATAAATAAAACCTTAAAAAAGAAAAAGGAAAAAAAATTGCTTTTTGGAAGGGGAACCGAGTACTAAAGATGAAAGAGATGGAAGGAAGAATTTTGGTATACTTTTGAAATTTTAATTATATGACTGTATTACTGAGTCAAATTTTAAAATATTGGAAGTGATTGAGGCAATCTTGTAGTAATGGCATAAAAACTAATTTGTTATTCACGTGTTCAGTCATTGTAACTGATATTGATAGTTGAGACATGTTCAGTTCACATGGTGCAAAAATTGGTTTTTATAATTCACTTCATCAGTTATTCAGATTTTTTAATTTTTAAATGAAGTATAATTAACATACAGTGTTATATTACTTTCAGGTATACAGTATGATTCAACAGTTCTACACTCTGCTGATCATAAGTGTACTCAATTCCCTTTATCTATTTTACCCACACCCCTACCTACCTTCCCTTTGGCAACCACCAGTTCTGTGTTTAAGAGTATGCTTTTTTGTTTGTTTCTTTTCTTCTTTGTTCATTTGTTCTGTCTCTTAAATTCCACATGTGAGTGAAATCATATGGTATTTGTCTTTCTCTGCCTAACTTATTTTACTTAGCATTATACCCTCTAGGTCCATCCATATTTCAGATTTCATTTTTCAGAAACATGTATAAAGTGATTTCTCTGCGTGGAGAGATGCAAGCGATGTTTAAGTTTCTTTTTTCTTTTGTGTTTCTTTTTGTTTTCTAATATTTTCTTTAATTTTCAGCAGTGAAGACAAGTTGCTTTGTGTATTGCACAAGTTCAGGGACTATCACCCAATGTAGTGACCCTGATATTAGCATGTATTTTATTTATAATCAGGAAAAAATATGTGTAAAAATCTTTGCACAGATTAATTTGTAGTTTTTTAATGCATTAGAAGTGCAGTTCTGCATTTTTTTTATTTTTGTTTGGAGCTATGTGAAATTTATTCAAAATTAAGAAGCCAGTTTCGATGAGTAAATATAACACATCTAATTAATCATCTTATCAAAGTGACATTACTGTTTTAACTTTCCCCCAGATCATTTCCAGTCTTGATTTTTGCCACTTGATTTTTTTTCTCTGGTTTGGGGTCCTCCCATAGCCTTTATGATTTAGCATTAACACCTAGTAGTCTAACAAAAGATTCATAGAGTATAGCAGCTGATTTCTTTCCTAATTAACTCTTACTAATTAGGGATCCACAAATACTTAAAAGTAGCAGTGTGAACAGAACAGTTCTAACTAGTAATTCTGGATCAAGTATTGGTTGATAACATGCCAAAGACTTTCTTCTCCATGTTTTTGCAAATTGAGAAATTTGAATTTATTTCAATAGTAAATGTTTGAGTTTTGTTTAGTTGATTAATATTATGTTTCATTGCTCTCAGGTCAATCTTACAAACCACTGTGGTTTCATGGGAGGACTACAAAAAAACAAAAGCACTGGATTGACCACACCATATTTTGCTACCTCTACAGTAGAAGTAATATTTCATGTATCAACAAGAATGCCTTCTGATACTGACGACTCTTTGACCAAAAAAGTAAGTGCTGAGAAAAAATGTTGAGTTAAAATCCTAGTAATTAAGAAAATAAATATATAAAATTGTGTAAGTAATCTAATTGATCAAGCACTATTTCTGAGTATTCCACTCTTCACCTAATACTGTCCTCAGAAACAGAATTGTTGTGGAGCAAATGCTGTTTTCATTAATGATAACATTGAAGGTTATTATCTTAACAAAGGATTTGTCTTCAAGAAAATGGTGATATGACAAATTGAAAAACTCCTGCGTATGTTTAAATTAGTGAAATTACATTTCAAGTCTTTTCACACACAGATAGATATAACGGTTATATTGACAGAGGGAGAACAAAAGTTTATATTAATTATTACAAAGCACTTAAAATATAACATGCTTTATCATAAATTTTAACTAAAACTAATAGAGCAGATAAAATAAGCCTTAATTAATGAAAAAATTTTACTACCTTAAAATTTATGAGAGATGTGGTGGAATGGTTTTGATGGCCTTGTCCTTTAAAACCTACACCACCATTTTTCTGTAGGTGGCACTGGCATTCAAAAGTTGTTCTAGTAACTATAGAGATAGGTTAGAGTACAGTTGTATGTATTCAATCTGTGTTTGGTTTTCTTAGGGAGAAATATTTTTAAGAATAAAACCTTGTCCAATATTTCTTCACCTTCTCTTTCTCCTCCTTCCTCAATTTATTCAACACTGACCAATATAACCAACTTAATATCATTGGTCATTTTACTTAATATTCTTTCCCTGATATCAAAACTCTTTATACTTTATTAACAAACTATGAAAACAGTGTATTCTCACACTCTTTTGTAAAGGAACTTCAGAACTCCTCTCAAATATTTGATAAGATTGATTTAATACCCTTGATGCCTTTTGTTTACTATTTAAAATACTGTTGGAACTTGCATACTAAATGCGTAATGGTTGATAAAACTAATATATGATTGCTAATTAGATTGAAATGAGGTAAAGTTGGAGGTAACTGATAAATTTAAGAAAGCATAATCAGTAACAGGTTTGCTGTAGAATTTCTGGTGTAGTTTTTAGAAGTAGAAAATGATCCATGAATACTGATAAGATGGTGAAGAGGTGGATTCGAGTAAAAACTTCATTAAAACTTCAGTTAAGCACTTTTTTCCATCAATTCATTTTAAACCTCTATGAAAATAAGCCATGCCTGAATTAGAGACAATTATAAGTATAGTGCAAAAAGATAATTTTAGGGGCGCCTGGGTGGCTCAGTCTGTTAAGTGTCCGATTCTTGATTTTGGCTCAGGTCAATCTCAGTGTCATGAGGTTGAGTCCCATGTGGGGCTCTGTGCTGGGGGTAGAGCCTGCTTGGGATTCTCTCTCTGCCCCTCCCCTGTTCTCACTCTCATACTTGCACGCACACTCTCTTTCCCTCTCAAATAAATAACAATTAAAAATTGTTTAAAAAGATAATTTCAATCATTAGGAACTTGGCCATGACTCATATTTATATCATTATCATTTTCATGGCTCCATGAATACAACTTTTAAACCCCAGGGCAGAATCTAAAATTGATAGTATCTTGGATTGCAAACATGAGAGAAGAACAAAGTACATCATTTTTTGCTAAAAAAACTCTTTTGTTTTGTTTTTTAAAGAAAGCTATGCCAGGATATTTTTACTTCACTGTATTAAACATGATAATTATATGGTACTTGAAATTTTATTCCTATGACCTTTGTAGAAATGTCAGATAAGTAGGATTTCTTATTATTTTCCAAATAGTCATGAGGGTGTGTCCTTAATTTCTTAAGGAGTTTCTGAAATGGATGTTTAACAATTCATTATCATAAAAAATTAATTTTGGAGGGGATAACACCATTTAAGAATTGTTAAATTGTTGAGTTCTAATTAAAATAATATTGTTAAGTGGTAAAATTTTTAAGTACTGGAGTTATTAGAGAATTTTGAGGAAGTAAGCATTGAACATTAATAGTTTGTTTCATCTATACATATAGAAAGTTTTTTTACTGTGGTAAAAATTACATACGTAATTTACCTTTTTCATGTTTTAAAAAATTTTATTTAGTTTTTTTTAGGGTTTGGAAATTTATTTTTCATTGAAGTATAATTAACATACAGTGTCATATTACTTTTAGGTGTGTGCATTGTAATGACTGAACAGTTCTATACATTACTCAGTGCTCATCATTATTGATAATTGTACTCTTAATTCCCTTTACTGTTTCACCCATCCCCCAACCCTTCTCCCCTCTGGCAACCACCAGTTTTTCCTCTGTATTTAAGAGTCTAGTTTTCTCTTTGTCCATTTTGTTCGTTTGTTCTGTTTCTTACATTACACACAGAAGTGAAATCATATGGTATTTGTCTTTCTCACACTGACATTCCATTTAGCATTATCTTTTTTATGGCTTTTTTTTATGGCTGAGTAATATTCTATTGTGTATGTATATTACATCTTCTTTATCCATTCAC